TGATGTCACTGTGCATTGACCAAGCCGTCACTATACTTCTACATCACTGCTGCAAGGAGAAAACCATTGAAATGGAATAGGAGTAGAACGCAATGAACGGTTTTGTGTTCATCTGACCAGTATAAAAGAAAATTGTGATTATTGATAGTTATGCTAGCTTGTCTGTCCCTGGAGTGGCGGAGGGTAAGGCGGAGTTAGACCCTGAGCTGCCGCTGGCCACCAGCCTGCAGCTCAGCTCATATTCTGTAACCAGTGTAGCATTAAAGCATGATGGAGCGAGCAAGCTAGCCACTTAGTCAGCTGTCCACTAGTTAGCTAGCTAGCTAGTTAATGCTGGTTACAATAAATGATCCATGACAATAGCGATGTGCTTTCCTACGCTGTGACAAGAGGATGAAACATTAAGTGGTTTGTAGGATTTTATCACAGCAAGGAGCTACTCTTAAATACTCTGTTCTTTTTCATGACCAAATAATTGCTTTTACAAACAGATATAGAATTTTAAAAACAAAAAATCTGGATTAGAAATTATTCATAATTGAGATACAACTAAATATTGTCTCTAGAGCAGCAACTGTAATGTTTATGTGGCGGGGCCTTCGGGGGGAAATGAAGGAACCAACAACACCACCTGGGGAATTACACCCCAGGAAATATAAGCTTAACCTTAAGATATCGTTTCTTTTTGAATATTATATTATATTTCTGCCTATTAATCCACACTCATGACACACTTCCTTTTTACTCATTTACTCTGGCTCTCTACACTTCGTAACCATCGACCATCTGGTTGGAGGTCGACACGCTCTACCCACTGAGCTACAGCCGCCTCAAAATCAGAGAAGAGGTCAAACGATGTCTGCCACGCCCACAAATTATGCAGTCGACATCGCCACATTTGGTTAACGGCCCTGGATGAACCAGATTTTTGATCTTCTCCCCTGCCATGGAAGTCTAAATTAAACCGAAATTAGCCCGCTACACCGGCCACGATGACATCGGCACACATAAAAATGGCCCACGCTCTGACTATCCTGCCACATTGATTTGAATGTGAATGTGAATGTAAATGTACTTGCTTTAACACTACATGTCATTCACCCATTCATACCCACTGATGGCAGGGGCTGCCATGCAAAATGCCACCTGCCCATCAGGACTAAGCATTCAGGACTAACTGACATTCATCCCACACATACACTGAAGGCACAGCTTTCGGGAGCCATCCTCTGATTGAAGGACGACCCGCTGTAGCACCGAGCCCTAGCCTAGTTCTATGTCCGTTCTACTCCTTCATTTATTTCTATGGTGAAAACATGGAAGTGTTAAACTGCTCTTAGTAGACCCGGTCTTTTTGTAAATTGCAACTGATGTGAATTCTATCACAGAGAGCTAAAGCTAAAGTTGTTTTTACCTGCTGCTCGGAGAGACCAAAGGCCGACATGAAGTTGTAGACCCCAGCACTGCCAGGCACCACTCCATTCTTCATCATGTCATCAGTGACCACAATCCTGCAGATACAGGAAGAGGAGTGGATTT